ATCTCAACAAACGGCTGCGGGAGCTGACATGTGATAAAAGGTGACATTCAGCAAAACTTTGAAAGATGGTGTGAGTGAGCAGCGCAGGCTTCGAAAATGCCTGAGGAGCCGAAAAAAAAACACACGGTGCTCGATCTTTGGCACAGCTGTTGTCTAGGTGGCAATGTGAAAAGTATATACAAAGCGGCTCACTCCAGGTTGAATTGGTGGCTAGGATGCTGAGCTGTCTCTGGACCGTGAGCGGTCTCTTGCTGCGGGGCCATGAGGCGGAGGCTGACGATGGCGATTGGGTCGATGACGGTGGCGCCGACAGAAAGTGCGTACTTCATCGGCCAGGAAATCAGTGGTGTCAGGTGGAAAATGTGCTAAAGGGTTGACGCGATAGCTGCCGGGATGGCCTGGAGGGCCTGGTAGAAATTGAAGTAATCGACTGGCGCGTTTCAGGCGCATGGTAATCCTGGCTAACTCAGTGACACTCTGGTGGTACTGAAAGTACAGCCGGAAAGCATCGGCATCGGTGAAGAGGGTGTGGTCTGGTATGGGACTGTCGATCATGGGGTGATTGAGGATCTGGGTAACCACGTTGGCAAGGCTGTCGAGAAGGCCTTGCATGAAGAGAAGTTCGGGTTGGGGTGTGAGTGAAGGAGTCAAGTGTGGAGGAGGGTTGTCTGGAAGAAAGTGTGTCTCGGTGGCTGAAATCTGCTCTGCAGCAGGTGACCGCGAGGCGCGAGGCGGTCGGACGTCAGCTGGGGCCATGGTGAACGAAAATTCGTCTGTACACTCAAAGCAGTCGAGAGGTTGAAAATGGCTGCGGTGGCATGAGGTAAGCTGACGATCAAATCTCAGAGAACGCAAAAAATGCAAAAAACGCGATAATCAGCTGCGCAATGCGGTAACATGGCTGGAAAGATTGATTTGGCTTCAAAAGTGCAGCGGGGTCAGAACTGCAAGGGTCTGCACTCGATGGTTCAGCTATGCACGGAAGTTGTTTGCTAGAGGCGCGCCGAAGAGAGCTGGGTGAGACGGAAACTATACAAAATAGCTACCAATGTCAGCTGCTGCTGGTTCCGGACGACTGTCCTCACTGATGGTTGCTGGCACAGCATTGGCCATGGCTGCGGCAGCCGGTGCAGGTGATGGAGGTGTTGTAGGTGCGTAGGAGAAGTCCGGAGCTGAAGGTGGTGCCGGTGGTGGGAGTGCTGCTGCGGAGGGAGGTGAAGGGACAGGAGAAGGAGGGGTGGCGTGTTGGCGGGCGAAGTAGGTGTGGGTGAGGGCGGTAGGATGACTGCTTTATGTTTGCGTTGTGCTTCTTGAAGTTCTTCCCAACGTGCTTTGCACTGTTCAATTGAGAAGCCCACTCGACGAGCAACGTAATTCCAGTTCGGTCGCAGCCGGGCATCGGTTTTTTGAGTTCCACAAGGCGAACTTCAGCGTCGCCATCCCAGGCGTCCCAATCGGCATCTTCGTTGAGGGGTGGTGGAGGCTCGCGTTTCCTCTTGGGTTGTGGTAGTGGTGGTGAAGAGGTGGAGGTTGAGGATGCTTGTGAGGGGGGACGCTGTGGTGGTGCATTTTTGATGGGGGCAGCAGGAGCCGAATCACAGGAGGAAGTGGGGGAAGGGATAGGAACTGCTGTGAGGGGAGCCGGAGGGAGGGCTGGAAAAGGTCGGTGAAAATGGGGGTCGACCTGATGAGTCGAGCTTGGTTGGCCTGAGACTGCATCTTGAGGAGCAGCGTCGGGGTCAGGCAGCTGAAGTGGCAGGCTGGAGCAGCGGGTGGCGCAGCGCAGGGATTATACATGAGCGGCCGGCGCATACGAGCGGAGCATGCAATTGAATTACGAGAATGAATTATTGAGCACGAATTTTGCGGGACATGCAGAGACACACAGTGGGGCAGGGCTGAATCAATACAGCCTGAAGTGAAAAGAAATCTGCAGTTTGTCCTTGCGCGAAAAGAAACCATGGTCAACAAGAACCAGCTATCTGTAAAGACCCCGGAACTAATCCAAGCGATCATGCATGAGAATTCGATCAAAGGGCAAAAATGAGCATCAAAACTGGCGTTCGGTTGGAGAAGGTAAAAGCTGTTGTACGGAAATGCAAAACATGGGATCGTGTCGCACTGGCACAAAAACCGGAGCTCGGATTTTGCAAAGCCGGAGTTGGTGGCGGATGTGAAACGTATGAACAAGCCTCTCTCAAGCGTGGGGAGGTGGCATTGGTGTTGAAGAAGGTGGGCCGGTGGTATGTGGTGGAGCCTCAAAGGTCTGGAGGTGTTGCATTGATAGACCACGCCAGTCCTTTGACTATGGCGTTATGGGGGTGAATCACCCAGCAGCGGGCTTTGGAGTGGCAGACAGCGCCATGGTCTTGTTGCAAAAGGTGCATGGCTTGGGCTTCACCGCCGCTGGTGAATTTGGTCCCCCGGCCCCAGGCTAGGAGATGGAGCATAATAGAATGGACGTTTTTTGACAGCTTCCATGTGTTGTGTAGTACGCGGGCCTGTTCATAGTTGTCATGGATTGGCTGGTGAGTAATGCGTGTGGCTTGGGCGAAAAAGCCCGGATTGGTGTCAAAGTGAAGGGTGCTGGGCAGGAGACGGCCCTGTTGTAGAATGGCAGTGATGTTGCCGTGGGGACCTGTGTGACCGGCGTTGATGTGTACTGTCTCTGGGGTATTGGAGGTGGCACGAGTGGCAGGCGGTGGTATTGGGCGAGTGGCCTTGTCGACTAGACTGTAATGTTGATGCAGTGGTAGGAGAAGGTGTCATAGGTATTTGCGGCGTCATTCCACTTCACATGGGTGAGTTGGCGGAAGTCTGCCAAATCATCGAGGGTATAGCCGATGTCAGCGAGGAGTTGGGCGACGTATGCGTGTTGTGGTTTGTTTTCTGCTGAATAATTGCGCAGCATGAAAGTCGAGCCACCATGCAATCTGTTCTTGGTGGGAAAGCTGGTGGAAATGTGGTGGAGGTGGCTTCCAAGGCGGGTGGGGCCGTCGTAGTGCTGGAGCGTTGGGGAATTCCGCCTGGAACATGTTCGTGATTTGGTGATGAGGTGTAGACTGTTGATTGGGTCGAAGAGTGATGGGTGCATGGGAGCGGCTGCGGGAGCGGCTATCCGAAGATGTAGTATATGAAGTTGAGGGGGAACGGCGACGCCGGCGGCGTGTCGACGACGCTTTGGCAGTGGAGGCTGCAGGAGAGTGGTGATGTTTGTCGCGTGTGCGGCGACTGCGGTGGCGGCGACGCCGTTGGCTGCGGCCTCTGCCGTGGTGGGTGCGGCCAGTGGTTGCAAGAGCGGCCGGTGTTGTATGGGCTGTGCCCGAATGGGTGAGTGTAGCCGTGGGAGGTTGTGTAGGGGATTGCTTGTGAGGCCCCGGAGTTGGTACTGAAGATGCTTCCGTGGGGAGTGCGGCAGTGGTGGGGCAGTGGCTGGTGGTGGAGTAGAGTGAGTGGCTGGCGACGTGGAGGGTGGTGTAGCGGTTGCAGCAGTGGTGGCCGGTTGGGAGGTGCCCTGAGTGGGATTGGCTGGTGTTGGGACGTTCAGAACGTCAGGAGCGGGTGGCGTAGGTGCCACCGTGGAAGGTGTTGGATCAGAAGGAGCAGTGGTGGTTGGGGCTGATACTTGATGTGGTGAAGAGTGAGCCACGGGTGGAAAGAGGGAGAAAGGCTGCCAAACGCCTTGAGAGTAGTCCCAGTGAATGGGAGCCTGCTGGGCCGGTGGTTGTGGTTGTGGTGCCTGGGGAGCTGATGGCGCTGGTGGTGCATGTTGCAAAGAGGATGGATGGTGTAGAGGTTGTGCTGGCAGGGTCTCAAATGCCTGCATCTGAGGTGGTGCTGGGTATGCGTGTGTGTGAGTCACAAAGGTTGGTGCCGGTGGAGGATGTGTTGGCATGGGATGTGGCCACGTAGGAGGTGGCGGTTGCGGTGCAGCGGTCTGAAAGTGAGGCAAAAATGTCTGCTGTGGTGGATGGGACAGAACGGTAGGAACAGGTGCCGTTGGTGGAGAATGGCGCCATGGTGGTGGGTGAGTGCTGAGAGTGGGTAGTGAGGGCGCGGTACACGGTGGTGGCCATTGTGGATACGGCCAGGGATACTGCATGTGAAAAGCAATGGAGAGGCCAGTCTGAAAGGCTGCAGAAAATGGCGCCGGCGCGGCACAGCAGCGGAAGTGATAAGTTGGAGATGGCAGTGAAAAACTGGAGCCTAAGTGCGCGTGCTGTGAAAAAAATTCAATTAAGGTGAATTCGTGGCATGCAATGCAATCTCTGAGGTCTGCGGTGTGGAACGTGTGAAAGCTGATCGGTTGCTAAACAGCTGCGGGTGAAAAGTTAAAAATTCAAGGATGCAACAATGCGCAGTACGGATGAGGTTCAGAATCAGTAGTGAAAATTCCGTCGCTTATAGCCCGGCGGCTCGAAAATCAGGAAATTCAGGGATAAAGCGAACAAACAGGGGGTCAGTTATAAGCAAGCAGGGCCAATGAAATCCGGAATGGATTCGGCGCCTCCTTTCGGAGGGTCACACCCAGTACCCACGTGGGAAGACTGAGCGGTCCACACTTCGAACTTGGGTTTTCAGTTAGACTCAATTGCCACGTTGGGAAGGAAGGCGGTGGAACAGTATGGCGAAAAGTCCGAGAAATTGTAGGTGTTTGAACAATGGTTGTTTCCCTTGACTGCGGTGACGAAGCGGCTCAAGCTGCACCTCTGCTGGGGAGGAAATGGCTTAGGGGGAGGAAATGGAAACAAACCAAGCAGATTAGACAGCGTGGTCAAAGGTTTCGGTTGCAGGTACGTCACGGTGATCAGCCGTGATATCCTAGTCAACTGCATGGAGCTTCGTTGGCGACAGCCATGCAGCGACTCTGTCGCCCCCTGCATCAGTGGAAAAATGGAACCGGCCTCTGTTGTAGTGGAAAGATGAGAACGTGGAAAACCCTTAGAACCAGGGTGTGACACACACACACACACGCACACACAAGTTAAAGTGCGGTACTCCTCCTGCAGCCCCTCCACTTCCTGTGCAAGGGCATCGCGCTCCTTGCTGAAGGGCAAGGGCGAAGGGTGGCCACTGGTCTTGTGATGGCTTGGCATGCACCATATTCAAAAAAGAATCCAGGAAGCTACTAGGAACAAGTGCATCGCTACTAGTAACAAGTGCCTTACTAGTAGAAACAAGAAGCTATTAGTTAATTTACTTTAAGTTTAATTTAATTCTAATAGCTTTTTGTTACTAGTAGTAAGGCACTTGTTACTACTAGCGAGGCACTTGTTACTAGTAGAATTAACCAAAGAATCCAGGAATCTGTCTAATTCAGGTCACTCGCCCGCAGCAACCTTTAATGTGAAGCCCTCACCGCGAAACCTTTCACACCGGATTTGGTCCAAACTGATAGAACACATGGACGGCACTTTGAGTGCGGTTTCGGTCGTTCAGGTGAATACCTCCAAACCATCTGGACCATGTCCAAAAACAATGCTGTAATCTGTATCTTCTACCTAAATTTATAAATAATAGACTTCGACTGTATAAGAATGATTCACCTAAAGGGCCCAAATCAAGGCTGCTTCGAATCCCATGAGATTCTCCGGCCTTCTTAGAGCGCTCTGCCACACATTGAAGATCCTGCCGTGTCCGCACCCCTGTCCAAGGTCCAACAAATATGTTAGACCATGACCCTGAAATCACCGGGTGTATTCAATAGTTTACATTGAAGGGTTGGGGTTGGGCCTTAATTTCGTTTCTGGTGAACGACTTTGACCGCGGTGCTCGTAACGGACCGCCCATTGTTAATATTGTTTACGCATCTCGGCTTGATCTGACAGCACAACAGGCAGCCGTGTCAGTAAAGTTGATCTAAACGGAATGCGTTGACCAAAGCAGTGTGGGACTATCTTGCGAGAAGAAGTGTTCATACTGAGGATGTTGCAATATATATATACCTAGAGACTCCGATGGCTAAAAAAATGTCATGATTCCAGAATGGCTTTTTTTTGGTCATTCCACTGAAGAAACGCCAAGGACCAGAAAAAACGCCAAGTTGCTGAGATGGTTGAAACTTCAAGAGGAAGAGAACAAATGCAGACCACAGTTCTTGTGTTGGTTTGTTTGACTTTCACATCCCACAGCCCCAATCCTTCCAAAATCTTCCAAAGTCCTGCCCACTTTTTCCATCACTACTGACATCGTCTGAGCTTACGCCTTCGATCCACTATCAGCGCGTGGGTCTTGAGGAAATACCTCTGGATGACCCGGTAGCAAACCGTTTGCCCAGATACGTTTCTGGAAAGCGAACTCACGTGGCCAACGTGGTCTTCGTTCATCTCGCAGTTGTGTATGTAAGGGTTGGTCACTGTGGAAGACCTGAACAGCTCTTGTCTCAACTGGTATGCCACATGCTTTAATGCGTGAAATTTTGGCTTCAAGGCGAATCCTACAATCTGAAGAGCCAAACTCTTTCTCGCTGCAAGTTGGTACAAGCGCGCAATTTTCATCAGTCTTGAGTACAATCGCCGGCCACAATGCCAATCCAGAAACAATCCATGCGACTGGCACAATGCGTGCATGTCCAAGATCTCAGTGACAAGTTTCAACATTACCTCCAGCAATCCACTGTGCTCTTGTGCCCTGGGCTCTGTTTGCATGAGCACCTGGGTCCAGCATTGCAGCCACGACAGCAATAGTGTTGTATCGCTGCCCTTTGAATTTGTCCAGGGGCTCTGAGAGCGCTTGACAGCATTAAAAAATGCTGGCTTGAAACTTCTAAGCCCCGGAGATTTTGAGTGCGTGGCACAATACAATCGAAAAGCTCCATGAGCTCGCTCGAGTCGTGCTTTCAGATTCACAAGGTCTCCTTCTGCATCAAACAGTCCCAAACGACAAAGTGCATAGATGATTGACCCGCAAACGTCTCTTGAGACACCAACCTTCATTACGTGGAAAGGATCCAACTTCAGGAAGAACTCAGCCCGTGCACTGTCAAATGTGAGTGAAGCTAACACTGGTCGTTCATCTTCATTCCATGGGCGGTCCTTCCAAAGACTTTGGGCCCACTCTGGTTCTTCCAGAGATTCTTCAAAGGGATACTCCTGAAGTCCTGCGTGGCAGTACGAGCACATCATCAAATAGTTTGTCTTCCCTAAATTTGCATAGGACCTGGTCAGTCCAGCTGTTGTGTCTTTGTGAAACCGAAGGTCACCCTTCAGCCCAATAAAGGCTCCGTAGAACACTTCATTGCTCACCTTGATGCCTTCAGTGGAAAACGACTGGAGGTCCTCAACCACCAACTCAAGATGTTTCGTGAGTACATGGGCTGCATGTGTCTCTTCCTTACAGTAGGCATGTGGCAAGCCAAACACCAAATAGCGCTTCAAGTAGCTGTGCCCGCTGTTGTTGTGAGTCAGTGAGGCAGCGAGATCTAGAAGATGTGCGTTTTCCCGCTCTGGTGAAGTTTGTGGTTCTAAGAAGAAATCAGCACCATTCTCCAGCTCACGCTTGCAGCTACAAGCTTGCCCTGTACGAACTCTGTCTAAGCCGATCGGGGACTCAAAAGCAAAATCCATCCATCCAGCCCTTTTGGGACCTTTGCCCTCATCCCCGTATAGAAGGATGGGGATTGTGGAAGGCAAGCGCTCCGGGTTCTGATAGATCTCATGGGTAGGGTGGTGCGAACGGTAGGCCTCCCAAAAGGATGCCAGGACATTTCTCAATCCTTCACCAGGACCCCCCACAATAAGACCAGGTTCTTCCCTTAGGAGGTATCGACAGTAGTCAGTGATCTTCACCCAATGGGTTGTGATCACTTTATTGTTGACCTCATGAGTCACTGCCCTGATTGGAATGGGCAAGGAAAAGCCCATCCTCGCAAAACGTCTGTGACAGTCTCGTTCGGCATTTGCCGGTCGATCTTGATCACATTTTTGCTGCCGCCATCTTGGGGCATCAGGGCCAGTCTCTTGAACTTGAAGAGAACGCTTGACATTCCGAGCTGTGACCTCAGCCAGGCTCATGACAAAGACAATGGACAGTTTCAATACAGACGCACATGTGTGGAAAGCATCCTCAAACACTAAGGAAATGCAGACTGTTTTGCCAGCAGGAATGAAATACAACATGTCATAGTACAGGGTGTGAGAGCTGAGGAAAAACCACTTACAGAAGCTTTCAAGTGAATGGGATTCTGAATGGGTGTTTTTTGTCAATGGCTTTTTACTAGGAGAAGAGCCTGTTGGTGTCTCAGGCACAAAGGCTTAACAAGAAAGTTTGGAAGGGAGGATCCGTGAAAGGGGGACAGAATGAACAGTGCAGGAAAGTAAGATTTCAGGATACAAATACTGAGTAGAGTCTTATGTAAAGGGCTCAATGCTATGCACACTTCCTGATGATGCGATCAAATGACGTAGATGCAGTAGGTGTTTCTTTTAACAAGAAAGTCTGTGTGGCATTGAACCAACACCTTGTGTGAACTTACAGTACTTGCATACAGGCACGCGTGCATGACTCAGCGTGTCCTTAGTACCCAGCTCCTTCCCCCAATGTCTCTGCTGCATGGGCTTCAACGGCATCACCGTACGAGCCACCTGGCCAGCACAAGAGAGTGGAAGAGTCAGGGACCAGGAGGGACTGGGATTGGCCGCACAGGGGGAAGGTGTCCTGGCATCAACTGAAATGCAAGCAACACTCCATGCATTCTTCCACTTTTTGAGCAGAGCGATGCCTAAAAGGTGCTAATCCAGCTGTGTCTCCCTCAGCTGTACGAAATTGTAGATGGGATTATTTGGCAGAGTCGTCACTGCCAAACCAAAAGCCCAAAACTATTCAAGATCACTTGAATCGAAACTGCTTTACTTTGCCCTTTTGGCTGTGGTAGAGGTAGAACCATTCTGATCAGCACCCCGCTTTGCAGAGCTCTTAGCCTTTGGCGTCGCCGCAGTCTTTGGGGTAGGAGGGGGGGCTTTGGCCTTCCCCTTTGCAGCTGGTGGCACCGTCTTCGTTTAGGTGCTGCCTTTGAGCAAGACCTGGGTGATCACCACTATTTGTTGTAAAAAAAATCTAGCAAATAAAGGCTTTCTTGGACATGACTAGCTTTTACAGGAGAAGGTGAGGTCTTCTTGAGCAAATTTGCAAATATATTATCTAAGTGCCTTGCTTCACACGGCGGTCCAAGCACATGGATGCGATGGCCCTGCCAACAAAGGGATTGCTTTGAGATTGGAGATTAGTCCGCTTGGAACGTTTGAGGCTGGAACTGCGCTTTGGCTTGCCCAAAATGAGCGAGCAAATCCTTCTGAAGCCTGGGCAGTTTGTGTCGGTGAGTGAGTCGGTAAATTATAGCACTCTGCACGTTTACTCAATGATTTGTTTTTTGGAACTTCACTTCCGAAAACTGCCACTTGACTAGTTTTCATGTGCTTTGAACCACAGGAAATGAATGTATTGTTCGATTTGTTTGTTGAAACCCTACCCACGAAAATGAATCCACTTAAGTTTAAAGAGTGGATGCACGGTGGGGGTGGGTTTGTAAAAACAACTACCCTCCGTGCAACAACTACATTTGAAATCAAGTCGCTGCACGTCAAAACCATCCGTCATGCCCTTCACATACTTTTCATTGATAGTCTCATCCAGGTCCGTCAGGGTCTTGAGAGTCTCTTTAGTCTTTTGAAAGACCCTTGGCGCATACACAAACATCAGAGCCTTCTCAGTTCACTCTCACAGAGAAACATGTTCCAATAAAAACAGTACAAGATGTACAAGATTGATTCAAGTTTCATTTCTTGGAGGTTGTCTCGTGAACGTAGAGTCTCAAATGTCTTCACACAATCTTGCATCTTCTTGATGCGCTTCTGCAAACATGCAATCACTTTGGGGGTATGTTGGGGGACATTCTTTTGAACCTCTTCCATCTCAGGAAAAGCGAGGCCCTTGAGAAGCTCATCCTGAGCCTTCGATGCAGTGGCTGTCAAAGCCGTGTCCTCTTGAGACTCGGCTCCGCCTGGAAGCGATGGTCGCAGGGGGTGTCGAAGTGTTGGGGAAAAACAAAAAACGAAAGCAATGCATGTGATGCATGATGCCTGCAATGAACTCAGGTTGCTCATACAAATACCCATCTTCAGGAAGGGAGAAATCAAGACCCTCTTGTTGCTCCACTTCCTTTTCAAACATTTCCTCGTAGATGTCCCGTGTTGTTTTCCTGATGTCACTGAAAAGCTTCATAACAAGGAACCATCCTATGACATCAAAGTGAGAAAAACAAACGATGAACACTAGAGTGATGAACTTTGAAGACGGTTTTTTGACGGTTTGATAGGCAAGGCTCTTGTTCCTCCCGACAACGCCCGTTTCAACCCAGTACAACGTGCCCTCTCCATACTTGGATTCCCTTAGCTCCCATGATTGGAGTGAGTACATCAGAACAATCAGGAGTACAAAAAGACACTAACTACTCACTGGCTCAATCTAAGATGGGGGCATGGTGTATCCCTTTCTCTTGGAACAGTATGCCTTCGCTCCAGCAATCTTAGTCCTTAGGCGGCCCGTCAATGACAGGAGTGCCCACTACACTACACAGACATAGCTACCTACTTACGCATGCCGCGCCCATGCACACACACACATGCAGCATG